TAGATATTAGGAATAAATTCTTTACTGTGAGGGTGGTGAGGCCCTGGCACAGCTTGCCCAGAAAAGCTGTGGCTGCCCCCTCCCTGGCAGTGTTCAAGTCCAGGTTGGATGGAGCTTGGAGCAACCTGGTCTGGTGGAAGGTGTCCCTGCTCATGGCAGCGGGGTTGGAGCTAGATGATCTGTAGGGTCTCTTCCAACCCAAACCAGTCTATGATTCTATAATCTGGCCTCCAGTATCTCTTGTAGTCATCGAGTAAGGAGGAGTCTATGATTTTTGGAGACTTTTTGATGAAAGGCTAAATTTTATGAATTTCCAGTATAAAGTCTGCTCATATAACTGATACACTTTTTTTTCTGCCTGAGAATTTCCCTTGCATACACAGCAGGAAAACAAACAGAGTTCTCTGTTATTTCCCTGAAAACTGAAGTCCTCTTTCCTAGCAAGATTAACTTGTCGACTAATCTTAGAGCAAACACTTTATTTTAATCTATCATTGTTTTCTGACTGTGGGTTTAGCAGAGGTCAGAAAAAGAGATTCATTAAAGTGCACATTTGTTTTTCCGAAAGCACATCAGAAGATTAATGCTTTGCCAAAGAAAATATAGACAGTATTTCTTTCAATACACTTCAGCTAAATAAAGTCTTAAAATCACATGCTTGGCCCAGATGGGATGTGTGGAGTATAAGGTACGAGTCGTATAATTTCTACTATCTGAAAACTGCGTAAATGAGCTCTCCTTCAGCCGTGCCATTTATTCCGCACCTGAGGTGAAGTAACTCTGGTCCCTGCTCTGATGTAGAGCCATCGGAGAGCTGACTGCCAGTGTGTTTGTGCAAGTCTGTTTGCTTATATAAAGAACCCGTTTAAGCTTCTCCACCCAAGAAATTAATGTTGATTTTGGATAATCCCTGGGTGATTTTATTCTGTAAAATAAATAAAGAAGTCTTCCGAATCTGTGATGCAGCCCAGCTCTCACATGTTTTGGACTATTAGAAGCACAGCGTTTGTGTTGGGGAGACATGAACTGACATGGGACGTGGGCAATTTAATATTTGTCCAGAAATAAAATAGGATGTGTGTTTCAATACAGGGTTACGTGACTTTGGAGTTTTGCCTGACGAGAGTGCAGGGTCAGTCTGTGATGAGGAGCGTTTTGCGTGTGGCTCACCAGACCCCACGCGGCACACTCATCCTCCGGTGTGGCTTCTCTGGGAGCAGTGCCAACGTGATTTGGCTTGGCAACAAACCACTGTTTCAGAAGAACAGGAAAAGTTGCATTAAACAGCTGAAGCAGGTCTCTGGGGACAGAGATTGTACGTGTGTGTAACACAGGCCAGTAGACATGGGAGTCTGAGCATCCTTGCTCTGAGTGGGGCTGAGCAGGGCTGCGCTGAGGATGCTTTGGCCCAGCATGAACCAGTCTCTGATCATCACCAATCGTAACTAACCCATCTGATTAAAAACTGCTTCTGGGAGTTCTGCTCTGCTCTCCGCTGCTCCCTTAAGAAAGCACTAGTGCACAGGCTGGAGTTGGGCGTGCTGGAGTCTGAAACTCAAGTCTGGGCAAATGAGGAAAAAGCCCTTATTTTCACTCTACTCTTAATCCCCAGCTGTATGATGCGTATCCTTCCTCAGTGTTCTTTCTTTGGCAACAGAACTGCTTCTGAATAGGCACATCTTAAACTAAGGCTCCGGGGTGAGCTTATAGCAGCCTTCCAGTGCCTGCAGGGGCCTACAGGAAGGATGGAGAGGGACTTTTCACAAGGGTCTGTAGTGATAGGACAAGCGGGAATGGCTGTAAACTAAAAGAGGATAGATTTAGATTAGGTATTAGGAAGAAATTCTTCACCATGAGGGTGGTGAAACACTGGCACAGGTTGCCCAGGGAAGTCGTGGATGCCCTCTCCCTGGCAGTGTTCAAGGCCAGGTTGGATGGAGCTCTGAGCAACTTGGTCTGGTGGAAGATGTCCCTGCCCATGGCAGGGGGGTTGGAAGCAGATGATCTTTAAGGTCCCTTCCAACCCTTATCATTCTATGATTCTATGATCTTTGCTGAAATCAGCAGTAGCTATAAATGTTGCCCTGAATCTCTAAGCTGCTATTTATTAGGTAACTAAATATTAAATTAGATATCTAATGTCTTAAATAACTGAAATAATTAACTGTATTTGTGTAACATAGCTATCCACCTTAATCTGGAAGATGTTGAGACTGGGCTAGACTGTCATTGCTGTATTGTTTATTAATTTCGTTGCAGAAACATTCAGCATCTCTTGTTGCAGGTACTGAATTCATGTAGTGAAGTGCAGCCATTAATAAAAATTTGGGTTGTTTCCTGCTTGGATTCTGGGGTCTTGTGAACCATGAGAAGTTCTGTAGAAGATTTATACACCTACTTTACTTCACTTTCCTTTGCTCTAACCTGAAAATAAGCTGAAATTTTTTTAAATCACTCATTTTTAAGAACTAAAGCTATGAATGGAATGTCAAACATTAAAAGACATCTTGATAAATCTCTGGAGATGGCAGTGCCTGAATAAAATGGTGTGGAAATGGCAGTAAATGTTTAGAAGGGAAAGTTGATCTGCTCAACCCAACACACAGTAACATAGGTATACTCAGCATAATATACTCTTTCACTACTTGCTGTATCCAGTGGGCCATCATATTTCTAGTGTTCTGTGTTTTATATGTTATGTGTACCCTTAATTAGACTTGTGATGTAGACAGCCTACTCCTTCATGAGGGTAAGCTGCTGTGTAAATAAATAAAAAGTAGGGAAGACAGCTTTTGCTGAAAATAGAAGCTAAGTTTAAAAACAATGTTTTGGCCTTAAGCTTTTATTTAGGGTTTCGGAAAACAGAACAAGCTCTTTGTTTTCCGTTACTTGTAGAAAGCCTAATAGGAAAATTATTACTTCTCATCTAGTTTTGCATTCCTTGAGTGTGTTTTAGTAAACCCCTTTTTCATTTAGAGTAAACTATTATAAATTATGCTGGGATATGATCATTAGTAGTTTTAGTAGAAATACTAGTTTAACTGAAGAACTTCTTTGTTGTGATGTCTATGATAATAACTTTATCTCAGTAAAAAGGCATCAGAACACATGCTTTAGCAATTATTTTTCTTCAAAAGGTTATGTTTCATGTAGATGATCAAAAAGGCAATATAGTGCCAGCCCACTTAGGCTACCAATTAATGCTATCACTGTCGACCCCCTGATAACTTCACTGCAGTAGCATTAGTGTTTTTTAGCATTTGAGATTACTGACCAATTGCCGTCAAATTTACCACGTGCATGTTAATAAACAGCCAGCCTTCATTATTTCATGAGAGATATTCTCAGACAGAGGCAAAAAGGCTTCTGTTACCACATTCTCCAAGCAGGCACAAACTCAACTACATCTGAAATGGATCTATGCTACTAGCTAACTTTCTTTTACCGTGGTTTTTCAGTGCCTTTCAGTCCCTCTGATATATGTATCTGTCAGTGTCTCTACCTGATGGATACTTTCTTCCACATTTATTTTTCACATAGGGAACTGATGCAGAGGACATCAGAAAAAACCAAGTGGGAAGTTAAACACCTAATACATGGTGGGCTGGTGAGGTCTGTGTGTGTGCTACCTCTGTTAGCTGCTCCTGAATTGTTAGAAGTGGGTGGCTTTTGTCGGGAACCTGTATGCTGTCTGTAGGACCATGGCTCAGTGATGAGCCAGTCCCCATCGTGTGTCTGAATCTTGCTGCAAGGGAATTTGGCTTATTCTAGACTGAAGCTGCATTGCAAGTCAACATACAATGTAAAAGATTGATGCAAGTCAACATGCAGTATAAAAGATCAGGGATTTAAACTGGAGTATGAAATTGAGCTCTGAGATAATAGTGTGGATTTAAGAGATTACGTGGTATTAGTACCAATACATCTCTTTCAGGTAAGCTATAGGCATACGTTCCTGCATGCTTTCTGCCTCTTTTCTTTCATTCTTTTTCTCAGTATTTCTTCTTACAGTCTTTTCCATCGAGTAACCCACCTTAAACTGGAGTGGTGTATCCTTAATTTAGCTGTTAGTTTAGTGGGTAGAACACTTTTCTAGCAGGTGAAAGAGCTGTGAACCCCCTTAGATTCAGGAACTTGACAGCCATGTCACCCACCTCATGAGCAAGAGTTGAAGATACCCAAATTGTTGTAAATTGTTACAGGCACCAGATCATCCTTGTCTTGTTGACTGGCCAGGAAGCAAGTAGCGAAGCGATTCATAATAATATAAGTAGTAATTAGTATAAGTAATCATAAGTGATTGCCCAAGCTCCTTTAGGAGGTTCCTGGAAAAACAGGAATGGAATTGCACAATAGCCTAGAACCATGAAGCTCTAACTTGGTCTTCCTTTTTGTAGCTGGATTGACAATGATAAGCACCTGCCTAAATAGGGGTAGCTTATGCAAGTGCTAGCGCTCCATGTTGCCACGTATGCACTTCATATTTTACCTTGTTCCATGGGACTTTTTCGTGCATATTTATATTAAGACAGTAGATTTTGGGTATCTGAAGGTTCGTAGTGCATCATAACATATATGATAGTTTGTCTGGAGTGAAGGGACTCTTGTTCCTGTCCAGTATTGCAGTTGTAGGTCCTGATCTCTCAGTGTAAAGTTGGATTCATTTAAGCTGATCCATTGCCTTGAGTTTGGTGTTGTACTGAATGAGGGGGAACATAATGCTATGTGATGTGTCATCAAGTTCCATATGTTTCTGTATCCTTGCCTGGTTCCACAGCTACATATAAGGCTTCACATCCTGTACATGTGCTTCATCAGTCTATATTTACCATTGGTAGTAACTTAAAATTAAATTTTTAAGTTTGAGTTTTGTAGTTGTTGTTTTTTTTTTTTAATTAAAAAGTTTATTTCTTTCAGAGTTTTCCAAAGAAGTGAAGAAAAATGAGATACTTGAAATTTCTATTATTGAAACAAAGGACTTCTTTTCTTTTATGTTTCAGACACAGATATTAAGGAGCTAGAGGATGTTTTTGGACTTAATGGACAAGTAGAGCATAAGCTGAACTTCCTCAAAAAGAATGTATCAAAAGATATAAAGCTGGTATTGATTGCTCATTCTATTGGTTGCTACATCACACTGGAGATGATGAAGCGAGCATCAGAACTTCAGGTACATTAACCTTATAGAATGGTATTTATATTATTAGCAAAGCAGTGCACATGCTTAGCCTATGGGTAATGCCGTGTCTTTCCTGTGGAAGCTCTATTCTGCCATACACAAATTTTCAACTAGAATGAAGTAAAAACGTTAATGACTAATCCTAACAACATATAATAAAGTCATTTGATGGAAAAGAAAGGTCTCACTCTGAATTTAGACCTTTAAATGCCTTTGTAGTATAAATTATTAATAATTATGATAAATATATTTGGGACTTCCTTGTTGTCTTCTCATCTTTAAATAACCTATAAACAGATCACTAGATATTTGGCAATTACGTTGTGTTACTACACCAAAAATTAGGACTGATTATGATTTTAGTAGCAGCTTCTTATCTCAAGGCAAGCAGATTGCTGCCTATACGTGGGGAAATGTGTGGAAAAGAATAGTAATGTAAATTGTGATGAGTACTACAATGAAGGATGTGGGTTTTTTAATACATGTGCTTATATCATTGCTTCTGCAACTCAGTCTTGGTTTGTGTAACTCGATGAGAGTGGGAGGTGTTACTGCATGTTCCTGTGAACCTGAACATGTTTCGTCACCATAAAGCAATGAGAAGGCTGAGGCAGGACCCTGTCCTTGCAACTCTGGAAATGGCGAATTGGTAGTGGTCAGTAATAACTCACTCTGCTAGTGGATGATGAATGAAGAATACTGAATTTTATTCTTAAACATTCACTCACTGCTAAATCATTGCCTCTTCCTTTATATTATAAAATCTTCAGTGGAAGGAAGGGCAGCTTTAGTGTAAAGTCTGTGTTTAATATATGCATGAGTAGGCTCCCTCACTTCTTCATAACCATTTCCACTGCACATCTAACTTTTTTTTTCCCTTTCAAGCAAACAGCAACTGAAAACGTGAAACATGAGTTTAACCTGATGCATTTCCACAGGCATATTTCATTTCATGGTTATAAACAAGGTCATTTTTTTTTGAGACAACTTTTATTGCTGTTTTATCTTTTCAAGAGGGAGTGTTCTAGAAAATATCATATGCAGTAATTTGTCCAAAAATACCAACTTTTATTTGGTTAACATCTGTACAGTCTTTAGTACACAAATGATTTTCTCTGGTTTCAATTAAACTATGAATTGTTGAGTAATTTTTTACACCTGGCTCACTGGATAGTGGCAGTGTGCTATTCATCAATATTTTGAAACGTAGGTATCTTTGGGACACTCTTAGACTGCATGTGCACTACGGGCTTGAAGTTAATATATCACAAAGCTACATTTAAGATGCATTTAACAATAGAAGATACTTGTGTAAGCCAGAGTGTTGTGCAACCTTTGTCCCTTTGCCAAAAATAAGTTAACTGTTAGCTTTTATAACAAATGAAGTGCGATAATAAGAAACTTGTGTTTCCATCTCTCCCTTTATTTTTACTGGAATATTTGATTCCCACAAGATTTTGAGCACATATGTGTATTTTAGTAGCTAGATCATTTGATTTTATTTTTGTGTAGTTCTTATGTGATACTCTTTTATTACATGAGTTTTGGTTTTGGTCTTAAATTCTCTGCTTTAAGAGCCTTTGATTGCTTACAGTTTATTATTCTGAGCTAGAGGTTAATGTGTTGTATTTATTGTTCAAATAATTCAGTAAATGTTTACATTTGGAGCATATGTTTAGCAGATTTGATTTTTGTTACCCAATTTAAAGCCCTTTCATAATCTAACAGACATAGACTAGATTGTCCCTCTCTTGTACAATGCTGAGGGAGCATGAGGAACTTAAGCTAGCACGCATGAAGAGGAGAAAGTGCTATCTTCTTATCTCTCCTTCTTGGTTGCCCTTCAGCTGTCGGTTTTGAATGCTGCTCACTTCTTGGGCTCTTGTGCTCTGCAGGTAAATGAGGTACTGTGTTTTTTTTGCTTAAACTTCTGTTTCACAACTGTGAAATATGCTTTCTTATTTCATTAAAAGAGAAATGAAACAAATTGCCAGTTTACCCCAGGATAAACTCAGTTTTAGACCCCATCCCTGTTTTCCTGTTGACTCTAAGGGAGGCTTCTGTTAACACTTTCTTCAGGAGACCCCTTAACACGAAGTTAGTCTTAGGCTGAAGTCTAATTAGTAAAGAAGGATCACACAGGTTACATCCACACTTGTAACTAAGTGAGGCTACTACCTGGATTTGAGTACTATGCAGTGGCATTTTTGGATGAGTCTCCAAGAGGCTTTTTGACCCAAAGCAGCCAGCAGCTCCCAGGCAACACGCTGGCATGGTTCTGGGCTAGGCAGAGGCCCAGGACCATTCGCAGTGGTCAGTCCAGGTGCAGACATCCCGGTTTTAGGCAGGGGCAGATTCAGCCATGTGGATACAGACCATCCTATGCCATCCTATACCATGGCAGGACCAGGGAATAGTTCCTGTTTGCTTTCACTCCTATAACTGCGAACACCTCTCAGCTGTCATGGTGGGCATCAAATCTTAACAAGATTCGCCTTGTCGTGGGAAGTGGAGCATCCAGAGTTTGTCAGGCTGCTGAAGAATTTCAACACTGGGAAGGAAAAAAGTTAATCAGCCTCACTGTGTAGAGATGGAAAATTGCAATAATGTACAGCTTGCTTGATACTTGGTCTTAACCTCGTAATCTTCTTTGCTTTTCTTCAGCCAGCAGAACTGAAAAATGAAGCAGAGTGACAAAATTGTTTTCTCATTTGTTGGAGCTGTAGCCTAACTTACTTACAAGTATGCTATATCCTCCAGGCATTCGCTTCTAAAATACAACTCCTTGCTTGGAGGTTTTCCTTGTTCTTTGCTTTCAACACTACTTCCTAAAACAGTCTGTTTAATCATTAATGTAATCAAAAGATTGATATATGTCCTAACTAATGAAATTCAATCTGTTACAACTTTAGTCTTCCATTTGCAACGATGCTTTTGAAGTGCCAGCACCTTTGTGGTAATAAATTAACACTTATTAATGAGTGAAATCATTGCAGAATCTAAGCATTGCTCTTCCGGTAAAACTCATTGAGAAGAGTTTAAAACCTCTGAGTACATATCAGTTTAAGCAAATAAAATTTCTGTAATATGTCATTCAATACCATGCATTGCTACTGTGGCTCAATGGTGCCAAAGATTATTGGGTAATGCTAGAATTTAGTTGATTTATGAATAATAGCTAACAAAACAGAAGTTGGAATAGTTGTGTATAAAACAAGTTCATACCTTGGAAACCCTGTCACATCATTTTGGTGCACATGTTCATGTGCATCTGCCTTATCTTTCCTTCACTGTGTTCTCTTCCAGACAGAAATCTGTGGGTCTGTACTTCCTTTCGGGAAGTGTGATGAGAGAAACAAAATAACATAGTTTGCATTTAGTGATTCCACAAATTCCTACAGTAGAATAACTATATTTGCATGTTTTTTCTTTTGTCTGTATACAAATTGCATTCAGGTCTTTCACTTGAGGAGCTACAACTTGTTCAGGATCTAGTAATGTACATAGCTTAGAAGGTTTCTGCGCTGTCTTATTCTTTATTAATCAGTACTGACTTTCACCCATCAGGAGGCTGTCTGCTAACCAAGCTTTGTTGAGTTCAGCAAACATTTCTTCAATGCTGACTATTCTAAATTATTTTAAGATGTATAAAATGTTGGTGCTATTCATTCCCTTTTATAAATAAATGTGTCTAACAGGAGGTATTGGGCATTTTTTATTAACCTTTTGAACTAGTGAAATTGGCTATATATCCCTTCTGTTGGTTTTCTGTCTGTTTAGCCAGTTTCTAATCCATATTAGGGCTGGAGTACCTCTCCTACAAGGACAGGCTAACAGATTTGGGGCGTTGCAGCCAATGAAGAGAAGAGAAGTCTCCGGGGTGACCTTCTAGCAGCCTTCGGGTAGCTGAAGGGGGCCTACAGGAAGGATGGAGAGAGACTTTTCACAAGGGTGTGTAGTGACAGGACAAGGGGGAGCGGCTCTAAACTAAAAGAGGGCAGATTTAGATTAGGTATTAGGAAGAAATTCTTCACCATGAGGGTGGTGAAACACTGGCACAGGTTGCCCAGGGAAGTCGTGGATGCCCCCTCCCTGGCAGTGTTCAAGGCCAGGTTGGATGGAGCTCTGAGCAACCTGGTCTGGTGGGAGGTGTCCCTGCTCATGGCAGCGGGGTTGGAAACAGATGATCTTTAAGGTCCCTTCCAACCCACACCAGTCTATGATTCTATAATTCCATGATTCATATAAGAATGTTTCACCCATTATTAGTATTATTAGTGATCACAGCGATCGAATGACCTCAGTGGGAAGCATTTTGTTGGAGCTTTTTGAATATAGTTATTTTAAATTATGCTCCTGTATGTGCATGGAAGCTTTATTTATTTCTTCTTTTTTAAATTTTTCAGAATATTTAGTTAATAAAAAAGCAAAGGAGCTTTCATCTAGGAAACGTTGTTGTTAGTTAGAGAAAACCAGAAATATATTTTATCATTCTTTTTTAGATTTAGCTGATGATAGATTAATCTTTCTCCAAAGTTTCTGTTGTTGCACTGTTAGTCATGGAGTCTGTTATTGCCCTTGTTGCTCCCCTAAATCTCACCTGTAGCGTGACATATGTAGTTCTCATTTTGTGGTTTCGTACTTCAACCAAAAGGCCACGTTCCATCTGTTGTGAACAGCTTGCTTGGAAACTTTGATGGCCTACAGGTACAGAACAGAAGGACAGATGTCATGACTCTGTTAGGGTTTTTTTTCTGTTTTCGAGAAATCTACTTCTTGCTGTTTACCTGCAGCCCTTTGCAACACACCTTAGTGGGAGAAGATATCTCTGCACATGGCCCGTCTGACAAGGACATTGATTGCCCTACAAAATTTCAAAACACCCTTGTCTTTGCCGTCTCTTGGCTAGAGAGCTTTTCTTTTTTTTTCAGCATGTGTGGGAAATTACCTCTGTCTGCAGAGGTAGTTGTTTTCAAAGAAGCTTTACTAAA